CCCAGTCCCCCTCCTTCTCGACGTCGTATTGATGGTAATCTGCGGGGTTCTTTGTCTTACCGGCAGCTTGCTCTGCCACGTCGACGGCGTTGGTCCTTTACGCGCCGACCCCGCCAGATCAGATCTGGCTTGCCAGTGGGTGACCGATTCGGATCTGCGGGCAGACCTATCAAATATTTGTGGTTTGACAGCCACAAATGTCTGCCTACCTCAATGGCTTATCAGCATCAATATTATACTGCGTCCCAATTTGTTACGATTGCTTATCAGCTTGACGCTGTTGAAAATCAGTTGTGTATGATCATACTATTCCACCTCCTGAAGGTAGGGAGTAACTATACTCTACCTCAGGAGGCTTTACTGTGAATGTCTTACAGTTGGCGTTCCATGGCCGCCACCTTCTTATGCGTCATGCGACGCCAGGCGATGATGACCTCAATAACCATCATCCTCACCCGGGCATTATATGGCACTCGTTCGTGCAGCTGCCCAGTGGGAACTGTGGGATGGTGGGATGATGAGTCAGGTCATTTTCGACGGGAATGAATTTTTGCGTGCATTGTAGAATCATACTTTATTCTGGATTATTGACCGACTCTCGTGCGACAGCTGTCGGGACAGAGATGCGGTGCGCCTTGGCTGTGGAATGCATCATCTATGACATAGCCATTATCAATCTATTGCGACTGCCGCCGTCTGGACTGAAGGGTGTCCAACATTTCCTCATTGTACACATCCCTGTCACCCAGATATACGTTGTCCCTTTTGTGCCCAAGGACGATATCAGAACTGTATGATGCCGCACTGTGATGAACGTCCTGCTGTTTTTTTGACATGTGGACAACATGTCCTCTGTCAGGACTGTTTTGATGGGATGGTTCGTGCTAGCCGTCCTGCTGAATGCTGCGCTGGCGCAGCTCTCCTTGGGTATCCCTGTGAACATCCACATCATTTTCACCGTAGCTGTCCTATCTGCCGAGGTGGGGACAGGTAAAGAAAAAAAAAAGAAAAAAAAGAAAAAAAAGAAAAAAAAAAAAAAGGAAAGAAAAGAAAAGAAAAAAATGTTGATCTGTGGGATGTGTTATTTGCTTTGTGACAATTGGATTATCTTCCTTTCCCTGTCAGGTTTGGTTTTCCCTTTTCTTTACCTCTTTTTTGCCTTTTGGCTGCGTGCAAGTGGGCCCTTGTGACACACGGAGATGGAGGCAGCCAGCGCTCAACCTGTCATCCACGTGGCTGGCCTTGTACGTAAGAGGTGATGAACAGGTGGGGCTTTCCTTCCTTCCTTCCTGCTTTTCCTTTCCTTCTTTTGCTTTTTTTCGCCTTCGCGCTCTGATTTACAGTGTGGCAATATATATATATATATATTCAGCCTCCTGATGAGTCGGTGAAACTCCGACGAAACAGTTTGTCACAGCCCCTCGTTTGTTGTCCTCGTCTCCGTCTCCCTCCCTCTCTGCCCCTACTGTTTACCGTAGGCACTTCTGTTTGACGACATATACATATATTTACGTCTTTTAGTATTACAAGTATGTAAGGCATTGTAAGCTGTCAAAAAAAAAAAAAAAAAAAGGCATTGTAAGCTGTCTTTTTAATGTGTTACCGCCTGTTTGATTGCTATATATACAGGTGGAGCGCTGCAGAGGCCACCGAAAAATCCGCGAGGGCAAACGGTGCAGAGAATCTGGGCCTCACGTGGGAAGAGAGAGAGAGAGAGAGAGAGAGAGAGAGAGAGAGAGAGAGAGAGAGAGAGAGAGAGAGAGAGAGAAGGGGGAAGGTGGTGGGCAAAGTAGGAGCAAGGGGGGGAGAGGAAAGAAGAGAAGAGGGCGAGTTTTGCTTATTAGCCTGACACGTGCAACGGGTGTGCGCGAAGTTGAGTAAAAGGTGAAAAAAGAGGGCAAGAAAGAGGGAGCTTGGGAGAGAGGGAGGACTGAAAGTCCTACAGAGAGGGTGGGAGAAAAGGACACGTGGCAAAGAAAAAGACCAAGTGTCGGCACGACGGAGAGAGAGGGAAAGAGAGAGAGGAAGGTTGGGAGAGTGGGAGAGGGAAATTTCGGAGTGACATTGCTTACAGAGTTGGTAAATGAGAAGGACACGTGGCGAAGGAAAAGACTAAGTGTCTGCACCACGGAGGGAGAGGGGGAGGGACAGGGAGAGGGAGATTTGGGAGAGAGGGAGATTCGGGAGTGAAAGTGGAAGGACACGTGGTGAAGGAAAAGACTAAGTTAAGTTGTGTCATCAGGGGGAGGTTGGGCAGTGCGCAATTGAGGGTTGGGGCTCTTTGAGTGTGTGTGGGTGGAGGTAGAGAGTAAGAGGTAAGAGTTGTGTGGTGGGGGAGAGGGGTGGGTGGTTACGTTGAGGGCTCTCTCTGTTTCTATAGTGCTGCAAGGAGGAGAAAGGACTCTCGCTTGGCAAGAAGCTGGCGCCATTTTGGGAAATGGCACGAAGGATAATGGATAAGGTAACGATGTCTGGGGCTGCCTCCACTGCTGACGTGGGATCGTCATCGTATCCGTTGCTGTCTGGAACGCATCGGGGTCTGGCGGCGATGCTCACAAATCAACCTCTGATTTCGGCCTTCCTGGCATTTTTCATCGCGCAGGCACTCAAGGTTCTAACCACGTGGTAAGTTTGTTTTCTTTTGTTTTCGTTTTGGAATTATATTATTAATTATATAATTAATTTATTACTGTATGTAAGGGTGATATTATTTTRGRKGGGGKKGGGGGRGGGGGGGGGGGGRGGGGAGGTTGTGTGGGACCGGCATGATTTATGCCGGAACAAAGCTTCCAGAAGCTCTGACTGAAGGCCGCTTCAGTTTGTTGATGTATACGCTTAAAAAGTTGAAATAGAAATTAATTCGAATAACACAGATAATAAACGTAGACTGTGCAGTAAAAAAGTAAATAAATAACAGACTGTAGTCGCTGTACATCAAATAAATAAGAAAAAAAAAAGGAAAAAAATAAATAAATAAATAAAAATAAAAAGTTAAGAAAATAAGAAAATAAGAAAATACCTTGGCTACCAACCGGGCTGCCCGGGTGACCTTTGTTTGCCCGGGCGGCCCGGCCGTGCAAGAGTCAAAGAAGCTCTCTCGAAGCCAGAAAAAAAAGATACAAAAATTCAAGAGATCTGAAAAGTAAATTATGTTATGCAGAAACATAAACTGAACAACTTTTGCCTAAGGTTGACATCGAAATTATTTACCCAAAAATAAAATAAAATTTAAAATTAATAATTATATAATATATATTTTATTTTTTTTTGGCCCCGGCCGGGCAAGTGGTCCCAGGCCACTCTGGTAGCCTAGGAAAATACGCATATGACAAGAGGAGGAGATAATATTAAAATAATCGACGTAAAAAGATTAAAATGTAAGGGGGGTGAAGAAAGCCTATCCTTTTTGCTTTGATGACGAGCAATAAGAAATGAAAAAAACTTGAAAAAAGAGAAGAGTAATATATAATATATATATATAGGGGTTAGGACTTCAATCTTTCGGGACATCCGTGAAAATTGGAACGATACAGAGAAGGGGAAGATTAGCATGGCCCCTGCGCTTTCAAGGATGACACGCGTAAATCGAGATTTTAGTTCCACAGGAGCATATTCCCACTAGCCACGGGATAGGATACAAAAGAGTTTTGTGTGGCAGTTGAGTGTGTGACGCACATCCTGCCGAGTTTGTGTGACAGTTGAGTGTGACCCAAATTCTGCCCGTGATCAGTAATCCTGAGTGATCCCACGGTCAGTGGATTTTTTTTTTTTACATGTATTACCCGAAAAAATAGGGAGATTTTTTTTTTTGTTCCCCTTCTCCTCCTCTCCTTAACCCCGGGCATTCCCGTGCAAAGAAAGCTTCCCGCCATAATCTTTTTTTTTTTTTTTTTTTTTTTTTGAGCCAGAATCTTTTCAATCCGTTGGTTGGGCGTATGGCCAACCCCAAAAGACAGTGGGATCGGCGATAGGCCCACTGAATAGAAGTTTTTTTCCAGTATTTTTTTTGCTGTTGTGCAATTAGCATCTCATTGGATGGAGTCCTCCTTCAATCACGAAGTATATATGTACGCAAGAGGTTCTGAACAGGCCGACTTGTAAGTAGGAAGATAAAAAATGAATTGATATCTTTTTTGCTTCCTTTTTTTTTTTTTTTTCGCTTTTGCGATCTGATGTCTTTGTGACGATATATGGAGGGCGTCATGATCACTGCTGACAGAAGTCGAGTTTATTCCAAAATAAAATAAAATAAAAAAGTGGCAGTTACCTTTGTTCACTGTTGGTTGTTTGAACCACCACCGTCAGATCATTGGCTGGCAAGCACTCTGCCGCGATTTCCGGTCGGAGGTCTTTTTTTTTTTTTTTTTTTTTTTTTTTCCTTTCTCCTGTTTTCTCAGCCCAGAAATCCGTACTGAACCTGTCAGCCCGCTGCCACTCAGTGTCACACTGGATCGGCCACACTCCTATCCGAAAATGTTAATGGGACAAAGCTCCATGGCCGAGGTCCCATTAGCAAAAAGAATAGGATCGAGCTCGTGAATCTGGACGTGTTTTAAGCAGAGATGCAGAAAAGCAGTTCAATCTCGATTTCCTGCACATCTCCAGAAACTCGTCCAGATTCAGGCATTCGATCCGATCCTTTTTGCTAGTGGGACCATGCGCCAGCGGACATTTATGATGGCAGGGCATGCTTTGTTTTTTCTTTTCTTTTCTTTCCTTTTTTGGGTCTTTTTTTTTGCAGGGGACCCCCCCCCCCTTCCCCCCCCCTCTTTGCCGAAGTGAAGCGGGAGACCACGTGGCCCCTGAATTTGCGACTCGCTTTCATTGTATTTTTGCCTTGGGCAGTGGGCCCTGAATACAAAGGAACCGTGTTTGATATTAAAAAAAGAAAAAAAAGAAAAAAAAAGGGGAGAAAATCATCGACCTAAAGAAATTGTAATTTGTAAGGGGGGTGAAGAAACTGCACCCCTTTTTTTTTTTATTACAGTGTGTAAGTACAATAAATAAATAAATAGAATATTATATATTGAAATGAAGAGAAAAACATCGACCTAAAAAAAATAGATTGAGGGGTGAAGAAAGTGTGTCCTTTTTTCTTGTATTACGCGCAGTACGTACAATCAATCAAATATTAAAATATATAATAATGTATTAAAACGAGGAGAAAGTCATCGACCTATTTTTTTTTTTAATGTAAGGGGGTGAAAAATACGGGCCGCAGCGGGGAATAAGTTTGGCCGAGTGTGCCTTTTGCTTATCGCCGTATGGCTGTGGTTAATATGTAAGCGGAAAAAAATGGGTGAAGAAAGTGTATCGGACTGTATCCTTTTTATTTTTTTTTAATTACACAGTACGTACAATCAGTCAATAAATATAATATTAAAATACTAGGCTACCAGCCGGTTCGCCCGGGGCACGGGCAGCCCGGCCGTGCAGCCAAAAAAAAAAAAAAAAAAAAAATCTGGAAAAAAAACTATGTTATGCAGAAAAATAAACTGAACAACTTTTGCCTCAGGGTCACATCGAAATTCTTTACCAAACTCAAAATAACAATTTAAATTAGAAAATGATTTTTATTTTTTTATTTCTTTTGGCCCGACCGGGCACGTGAACCCGGGCCACTCTGGTAGCCTAGTTAAAATATATAATAAATTTGTAATATACTAAAATGAGGTGAAAACCATCGACCTAAAAAAAATAGAATGTAAGCGGGTGAAGAATCCGGGCCGCAGCGGGGGATAAGTTTGGCCGAGTGTGCCTTTCTCATCCCCGTGTGGCTGTGGTAAATATATGTGAGGGGGACACCAGCTTATAATGGAATGGTCACTCTTTTGGGAACAACCCAAAAAAAAGGGGATAAAAAAAGAAAAGTTTCTAAAAGAAATTCCGTTTTTTGTGTTCCTTTCAAAGAATATTCATCCTTTTTCTTCTATTAAACGGAATAAGTACAATGTTGAAAGAATATAACATCAGGAGAAATCATCGGCTTAAAATTTGTGCTCATTCGCGACAAACAAAGTCGTCGACCCAAAGTAAATGATAATATATTTTGTTAAAGAGGTTCTGAACAGGGGGAGTTGTAAGAAAGAAGATAAAAAAAACGAATTCTTTTGGCTGCGTGCAAGTGGGTCCTTGTGACACACGGGGATGGGGCAGCCAGCGCTCAACCTGTCATCCACGTGGCTGGCCTTGTACGTAAAAGGTGATGAACAGGTGGGGCTTTCCTTCCTTCCTTCTTTTCCTTTCCTTGTTTTGCTTTTTTCCGCCTTCGCGCTCTGATTTACAGTGTGACAATATATTATGTTAAAATTACTGTTAAATATTATCACATAATATTTTATTATTTATTATCAAGGGGAATTAAATCCATTGATGTATGTAAAAAAGAAGCAGCGAGGCTTATAAGTTTTAATGGAATGAATGGAATGGTCGTTTTTTTTTGGGAGGAAAAAAGGGTGATACAAAAACAAATTGTCTAAAAGAAATTCCGTTTTTTTTCGCTTCTTCAAAGCATAATATGCATCCTCTTTCTTCTATTACACAGAATAAGTACAACCGTGAAAGAATATCACATGCCTACGCCGGACCCGGACCCGGACCCGGACCCGGGCAGCTCATGCGCGGCCGGGGTCCGGACGTCCGCACCTCTGGGCATGCATGGTTCCGGACGGTCGGGAGTCGTGTCAGAATTCCTAACCAAACTTGAGTTAAAAGTCAAAAACTATAAAAAGACTTAAAAAATACTTTAAAAACTAATAAAAAGTAATGGATTATTAATAATTAAAAAATTGCGTGTTTCTAATAAATTATTATAGAGAGAGAGCATGTCCGGAACCCCCCAAAAAGCATAAACGGATCTGAAAACCCCCCAAAACAATTTTGGGGGCTTGGCTCCTCAATGGGGAAGGGTCCTGGACCCTTTTTTTTTTTTTCCTCTCTCGAAATATCTCAATTGCGTCAGGAAGAGGGCCGGTAATGCCTATCACAAAGTCATCTGCGTATCGCACATAGCTAAGACGTCGAAAGTTCACGTCTGCCACTTCGTGCTTGTCGTATTACTCCTTTAGGGTCTCATATATGTATTTGTCCAATTGATGTAATGTAATGTTACATAGTAGAGGCGTTCGCAAGAACATAAGAGCATATCCAACACTTAGGGATTTTCGGACTAAGCGCATAAATTTTCTACAAGCAATTGCCAGATCCGGACCTTCCAGACCGGACGTCTGGAAGTCCGGACTGAATCCAGATTCCAGACTGTTTGGACGGCGGTCCGGACGACCGGATTGTAGCCATGGAATATAAGTTATAACATGAGGAGAAATCATCGGCTCAAAATTTGTACTAATTCGCAACGAAGTGGTCGACCCAAAGTAAATGATAATTTATTATGTTCAATATTATCACATAATATTTTAGTATTTAATATCAAGGGGAATTGAATCCATCCGTATGTGAAAAAAAAAGCAGCAGCGAGTGACCAACGAACCTAGCCTAGCTTAGCTCAGTTGGTACACCCCCCAATAACTGTCGAAATAATTCCCCCCCCAAAGGGCTCAAGTTCGGATCCATAATTCTGAATTACCTGGGGGGGGCGGTCAGCTTCAATGGTGATATTTCAAGGCCGTCGCTCAGTTGGGACACCCCAGAACTGTTGAAAAACAAAGAGAGAAAAAAGAAAAAAAGAAAAAAAGAAGCGAGCAAAAAGGCGACCGTAAGTGTAAAACTTTCACAGAATTTCGCTACCGCCTTGACCCGCTTAGAACGCCCGGTCATTGTAGCTGCATTTGGTGCAACGGTCCGTCTAGATACACAGCAATAATGACCAGGGCGTTCTGTTGGGGAAGTTGGGAGAGAGGGAGATTCAGGAGTGGAACTTATTTGGTGTGACTTACAGTCTAGATACAGCGATAATGACCAGGCGTTCTATTCAGACGAAGACTGGAGTGGATTTTTCTTCTTCCTCCGGACTCTAAACAAATTTTCGTTGTCGTCCTTCTTAATGTGTCTGTCCGTCTGGGTACTTCAAAATAAGAGCACTTTCTTGTGGTATTCTACCCCCTCTCCCCTCTCCCAAAAAAAAAAGACAAAATCAAATTTTAGGTTTGTTCTCGTTTTCTCTTCTGCTCGTCTTTACCTTTTCTACCGTCTCAACACAAATAGAACGCCCGGTCATTTGTTGCTGCATCTAGACTGAAAGTCGCACCAAATGCAGCTGTAATGACCGGGTGTTCTATTCGGGTGAAGACGGTAGTGCTCTTTTTCTTTTTCTCTGTCACTAAATTTCTGAGCACCTGCTGCTTACAAAAAAGAACTGCCCTCCGGGTTGAATTGTGAGGTCCCCGGCCTCGTTCTTTTGATGATTGGAAATGAAGTCAAAGAACTGCCCGGTAAACCGTAAGCAGAGAGGGAGAAGAGGACAACAAACGAGGCGCTGTAACGAACTGTTTTGTCGGAGTTTCACCTACCTACTCATGAGGAGGCTCTGAAGCCTCGACAGTCTGCAGAATCCCCTAACTGATTACACACTGCAAGTGATAAACCCCACCTTAAACCCCCGGTTGTGGTTAAGCATCAACGACTGCCCGGCAGCCGGTACGCTGAGGTGGGGACCACCAACCACTGCAGCCCTCAAGGTACCTGGAACGAAAATCAAAGCAGGCTATCACTCACCCTCACCATGCATGTGGCCTTACGACGTAAATGCAGGGTATATGTGCCTTTACTAAGGGTATATATGTGCCCGTACTGACTCTATATGTGCCCCTGCAAAGGAAGGGCAAATAATAAATATATGCACACATAGAACGGTGATAAATTGTGATCGTAGGCACCTTAAAAAAAAAAAAACTAAGGGTATATATGTGCCCGTATTGACTCTATGTGGCCCTGCAGAGGAAGGGTAAATATATGCACCCTTACAACGGTTATAAATTGTGATCATAGGCGTCTTAAAAAAAAAAAAAAAAAAAAAAAAGAAGTACCCAAAAGACTTACTGTTATGTAGGGTATAGGTGTCCTTACGGAGGGTATATATGTGCCCTTACGACCGTCTTCCCTGGAAAAGAGCATGGTCATTATAACTGCATTTGGCCCAATTCGGAGTGCAGATACAGTGGTAATGACAGTGCGTAGTATTTGGAAGAAGATTGTATAGGGTTAATAAACAAACGAATGTACGGGTTTCTGTGCCCTAACTACGGTCAATGTTAGGGTATATGTGCCCTTACTGAGGGTATATAGGTGCCCCTACTATCGTCTTCCCCCGAAAAGAGCACGGTCATTATATCCGTATTTGGGCCATATGTGCCCTTACTGAGGGTATATAGGTGCCCCTACTACCGTCTTCCCTCGAAAAGAGCATGGTCAATATAACTGTATTTGGGCCAACTCGCAGTCCAGATACCGCAGCAATGACCATGTGTACCATTTGGGGGAAGACGGTATGTTTCCCCCTAGTAGCAGATTTGGGCCCTGGCAGATGGGTCTGAAGGGGGGTTTGGTAATACTCCTGGCACCACAGTTTGATGGTGAAATTGGTGACTGATTCTTCGACACCAAGTGACGATGGGCACGGGTGGTTATCGAGTATGGGGACGAGTGATGCTTATTGGTCAACCTCTATGCACCAATCAAGCGCTCGGACAGAAAGTGGTTTTGGCGGTCACTCCCGGCGGTCGTCCTAGACGTGAGTGGATCGGACTATGGTGGTCGGGGACTTCAACACAATCTTACA